ACGCTTCTTCCTGCCATGCCCTGGGGTCTTGCTTGGGAGGACTGTGGGGTGAGCTGGACAGGACACATCCTTTCTAAGCCCAGTGCCCTGTGGCACCCCGCTGATGTGGGCCCAAATTCATGCATCCTTTTGGGGAAAACCCGAGGCTTGGCATGGCCCTGGCACAGGCCGGTCAGAGCGCAGGCTGTGGGGCTTGTGGGGGCTCTTCAGAGCTTGTCCGAGCAGGACTTGCATTGTTTCTCCTCAGGTACCAGGTGGCCCTAATTCTGTAGGCAGCCACACATGTGCTTAATTCCAGTCTTCTGAGCAGACTGGCTGGTTTTTAAGCACGTGTGTGTAGTGCCACAGCGTGGCTTCTCCACAGCCTCTGGCCTGGGGACATGTTTTCCTCAGTCACCTCAGGCTTCCTGCGGCAGTGCCTCAAGGCCCAACTCCCTGCTCCTGCTCCAGGCCACCAGCAGGACAGCCCTGTAGACCTTAAATATACATTTTGTTTTTAAAGGTAACCCACCTTATTTTTTATGGAGCTTGTGCTAGGTCTGGGACTGTGTAGGGTACCTCCTGTGTCCAGCATGGGTCTCCCTGCACCCCCCGAAAGGCATCGAGCTGTTGTGGCGTTCATGACGCGCGTCGGCAGTGCAGATCGCTGGTCTGTTGCTTAGCAGGACTGTTTTTATTCAGATTGTGCAAACCCTGCAATCATTTCCCCCTCTAATTGTCGTTCTGTGGAAAGCAAGATTGTGAAGTTTCCAGTTGTTTTATTCTGTGGGCAGCTTTAGCTTCCAAATGTATTTAAAACTGAATCCATTTTATTTTTGCCATTTTGTTGTTGTTTTTACGCTGCATTTCAATGCACTTGTCTTGCTTAAAGGAAACAAACTATGTCCTAAGTGCATTTAAAAGACTGCCCAGAGAGATTAGGTACAAACAGGCATCAAGTTGGCAGCAGCTGGGATGCTGAAGTGAGACTGTTAACAGGGCAGGGCATGGAGCTGGGCAGCAGGGCAGGCTGTGTTACCAACTGGCACGTCCCTCTCTCAGAAGGGCATCAAAACAGCCCCACTGCCAGACATCCCTCGTGTGCTATCCCGCTTCCATGGGGCTGCCTGGGAAAATGCTTTTCCGTTGCTTCCCTGCGTTTCCCAGGCTTGCAGGGTTTGTTTCCAGAGCTGTGAATTCGTATTGCATGCTCAGAAAAAAATACTGGCAATGTCACGAGATCAGGCTGGATTTATGGTTGTGTCGCTATTAATTTGACTGAATTTAAAGTGCATTCTTTATATAACACGAATGAAAGGCTAATATATGTGAGCTTTAAAAAAAATTGATAGGCCAAATATAATTTAGTAGGACCCAGAGGTATGTTTGACAGCTCCTTCCTATGATGAACGGCCTTTCTGCAGGACCTTGGTACTGCAAATATTTACATACACGCTGAGCTCGAAGCCTGTGAGTCCTCTGAGCCCTGTGGAGGAGCTGGCTCTGCTTTGAGGGGTTACGAGGATATTTCTTTCTGACAGCAACGTCCTGAGGATTTTGGGGGGAATTGGGGGATTTTTGCATCTGGCGTCACTGAAAATAGCTGGGGCCAAGCCCCCTCCTAGCTCGGAGGCACAGAAAGGAGGTCCCAGTCCAACTACCAGCATTTGCAGAGCATTTCAGTGAAGGTTTCTGTCTCCTTTGCCAATATGTAAATTAACGCCTATAAATCTGCCTTCTGCCTAATAGCGAGTACCATGCAAACGCTGACAGCTGAGATGCTATATTTAACGTGACACCTGAAGCATTTAACCTTGTTTTTCCTTCCAGATAGACAACCAGAGTGCACAGAGAGGGCATTCATGCTTTTCTACCAGGTGAGGGATGGTGAAGAGGTGGCCTCGCGTCTCAGGAAGGCAGGGGGCTGAGCAGGAAGACCCCCCAAAATCCCAGTTTCCTGATGCTGTCTGCCTCAGCTGGGCAGGGCCGGCTCCTAATGGTCACCGCAGCGTGTTTCCAACTGCGGCCTGGGCTTGTGACCACCTCACTCACAGACACGGTGAGACCAGGGCCATTTTGGGGGCAACTCTGGAGGGTCAGCGGGAAGGGGCTGCGTGAGGCGTGTGTGGGGATACAGGTCCATGAGGTTCTGTGGTCAGAGCTGTGTCTCCTTCCCGTGCCGGGTTTGCAGGCAGTGCTGTGGTGCAGGTGTCCATATAGCACTGGGCCCACGCAGATACTGGGATCTGTAGCACCACAAGCACTGGGATTTATATTGGTGCCACCAGGGGGGGCCATAATAATATTTATTGCACGCGTAGCTCCCCATGAGAGGGGTGGAGGGAGGCTTGCAGGAGGCAGGAACCGGTGTTATCCTGGGCGTGGGGCTTACAGAGGTCGTGGAAATGCTTTTAATGAGCAAGAAAGCAGGCTCCCTGATTTCTCTGCCTCTGATATTTCTGCTGCTGGTCTCCCTTGGGGCGACAGCACATCACAGCCTGCTTTGGGGCTGCACACCCCGTGTGCGGAGTGGCTTTGGTGGGTGACTGGTGCCGGCTGCTGGCCTCCCCTTGCCACAGGAGCAGGGAAGCAGCAGGAGCATTGGAAGCTGTGCAGGCTGGAGTTGCTTCTGTTTGTATTCATGCACAGTTAAACTTTTGGGAAAGCAAACCAAATATGAGTGTAAACACAAAGAAGGGGCTGTGCTGCACGTGGGTATCGCTGTGCTGGAGGAATTTGGAGCTGGGGACGCTTGTACTGCTGCAGAGAGGGGACAGTCCCCAGCCCTGCTGACCCCAGTTCGTTAAACAGCACGTGACAGCTTGTTTTTTCTGGTTGGTGATGATTCATTTATCATTTCTTAATGCTCCCCCAGCACTGCATTTTCTAACGCAGTGTGTTCTGCCCCAGTTTGCTCTGGGGGACATACAGAGCCCCCCCAGTGTCCAGGTAGGTCCCCCTGTTCTCCCAGCCGCCAGTACCCGAGGGGAGGCAGGCGATGCTCGCCCAGGGCCAAAGGGCTCAGCACCTTTTGTTTAGCTGAACCCTCTCTGCTTTTTGTTTGTGCTTGGCCAAGGCCCTCATGGAGGAAGCGGAGAGCTTCCAGCCTCAGAACAGCCTCTTTGTTTCTCTCCCAGCCCTCAGCTGAGACCTGGCTCGCGCAAGACAAAGTCTCCCCAGGCCATTTCTGATTTCTAGCGTGAAACTCCTGTTTGGTCATAAATAAAGCTCCAGAAGCCTCCTTCATCTGAAGAGGGGCTTTGTTCTGGCTGCAGAGCATCCAGGATCCCAGAGGCTTGAACTATTTAAAAACCTCTCTGCAGCTGGGAAAACTGGGTAATGATCCCCTGGTGTGGAAAATTCAGAGAAGGCATAAACTGTTCAATGTTTATATATATATGTTTTTGCAGTATTGTCTGATGAATGTGTGGGATAAGCACAGGAATATATCTAGAGACCTACTGTGCTGACCATACAAGCTTTGGGCACCTCCCAGCCCCTCTGCAACGTTACGAAGCGATGCTGCCTGTCTGCTCTGAGTCCTCCAAAAGTGCAGAGGAGCAGCTCTTTGCAGAAGATGTCCCTCTGCAGTTCAAATTCTCCTCCTCTGTGCCATCCACAGAGTGCCATCTGCTAACACCATGCCCCAGGCTGCAGCCACTGCAGCAATTAGTGTCTGAGCATGCCTCTCGTTCTCAAATGCTGGATGAAGCATAATGTTCGATGTCGCAAATAAGGATAAACCTTTTCCAGTAAAGCGTAGTCATATTTACATATTTTTCATGATTGAATATATCCATTATTGCTTTGCTGGAGTGAGCTTTGTTCCTTTGTGCATTGCCTCTTTCTGAAAGCCAGAAAGCATCTGTCATGTGGACAAAGATGCGAGGCCAGAGACTTAGATTGATTTCAACCTTCACATGAAACATCGCTGCTGTCAGCCAGACAGTGGCATTTCTATAAAAATCCCAATGTAAATATTTGTTCTAAATCAGGCTCTTTCTATCCTTTTGCCTTGGCTGGGACATTAATCAAGGGAGCTTATGAAATGCTGTATCACTTTCAGATTAATTGCTACTGAAAATTGGGACTGTTGCTGTCCCCCTTTTGGCATGATCTCCTCCAGATTTATTTTCTTTCTTCAATCCTTTCTCCCCAGACAGGCCGTTTTCACAAAGGCCAAACTGTTTCCCTCCCCTACAAGAGTATCTTGTTTGCCAGCCCTCCCCTGGTCAGCAGACAAAATGAGGGGCGTGGATTAAGGAGTGTGAATATTTGCCTTCACAAACTGTTGGATTATTTGCACATTTCTGATGTCTTCTGCGCGACAGGGTTTGCACTAAATAGAGGCTGATCTGAGAAAGCAGATCACTGTGCCTTGAGGTTAAATAAGCAGTGTTAAAATCTGGTTTATTGGAGAATTTTTGGCTGCAATGACTTTTTTTTTTTTTTTTTTTTTTTTTTTTTTTTTGCGGGGGGGGAGGTGGGGGAGAGCAGCTCACTTCCATGTGAGGGTGCTGGAATCAGATTTTAATTGCAATTTTGATCCTGCTCTCCTTTCATCTGAGCTCTGCAAGACTTCTCACCTGAGGCTTGCGAGCCAGGAAGGGGGGGGCACCTGGCAGTGGGACGGGAGTGCGACCACCCGTGTGGTACTGCTGCTGCCCTGTGGCTGTGTCAGCGCCGGGAAGGGACTCGTGCTGTCCGCCCATCTGTCTTTTCCTTCTGTCTTTCCCCAAGCCCTTGACGCTGTGAGCAGACCGCATTCCGCAGACCAACCAAGCAGCCCGAGTTCAGTGATGTTTTGTACGTTGCACGGTGCCACGCACAGCCCTGCGTCCTGTCAGTGGCAGCCCTGAAGCACAACACGATGCAGAGAGATCCTCTCGAGCTTCTCTGCTGCTGACAGGGAGCAGAGGAGCCAACATGGGAGTCTCTGCCCCTCGGGTGTTACAAATAATGTGTGGGGAAGCATTTTGTGTTACCACTTTACGTGGGTGATTGGTACAGTAAGTCTAGCATGCTGCTTCTAGATGATTTATTTATAACAATCAGAAAAATAACCTGAAGGTTTAATTCACCTTCACACTCTATTTTTGGTTTAACAAACTTCTTTTTTTTTCCTGCTAAATATTGCACTTGCTGTGAGTATAGTGATGCCAGTCTGCTGAAAGCCCCGGTGCCATCCTTGTATTGTCACTCCGTGTGAGCAGATCCAGCGTGCTCATGATTTTGCCTGGCGATTCTTTCTTCCTCTCCTCTTCTTTGAGAACTTGGATTTTAACCAGTCAAAGAAGCCGCCCTTCGCTTTCAACTCGAACTCCACCGGGAAGTGGTCGCTCACCCCCAGCGCCTACAAGAGACAGGTAGAGGGGTGCTGGGAGCAGCCAAGCACCTTCCAAGCCCCATTCGGAGGTGTCCTGGTGGGACTGGGGAGGGGACACACGCACGCTGCATCACTTTTGGGTGGATACATGGCCCAAGCTGTGCCCATATCTGCACCTCCCTGCTCCAGGGAGATGGCTCTGTGCTGGCCAAGGTGGCATTGACCCTCTTGAGGGAACCCGGCAGTGCCACGTGGGCTGTGCTGTGCCTACCTGCTCCTCGGTCATCTGGAAAGCCGCCTGGAAATCAAAGATATTGACGGAGTGCGGCATGACGGCTTGGCTGAGCTGCTCCCCGCTGACCACGATCCTGCAAGGGGCAAGGGAATGGGGCACTGGTTCCACAAACACCGCCAGCCGTGCCGGTGGCCGAGGAGGTGGCCTCCACGCAGGCACAGCTACAAAAGGTTTGTCCCCACCCGGGGCTGGCTGCGGAGAGATGCCAGCAGCTGCTTTGTGCTGCAGCTGGCCGACTGCTTTCCTTGGCAGCGAGACACCCAAATAACCTTGGCCGTGGAGGCCAACGTGCAATGATTTGCATCGAAACCCACCACAGAGCTCAGAGCAGGAGTCTGGACACAGAAGCCAGCGAGGACTGGAGTGTCCCAAAGCCAGGCTTTGATCCAGGAGCTCGTTAAAGGGGTTGAAGTCCTGGCTGCCCCTGTGCTCTAGCAAGCTGCTGCATGCCCTGTCCCTGCCGAGGGAGCTGCCTGCCCCAGCAGGACTTGCCGTGTGCCGGGGCAGGGCGAGGCATCACACCAGCTGTGCAGAACAAGGCTCTGCGTTTGTCCCTTCAGATTATGACTACGATAACAAGAACCACAGCACAAAACCATGGCACAAAGCTGAGGCCCCTCTGCAGCATGGCAGCTGCAACTCTCCCTGCTGGTGGGATGGTTTCAGCTCCAGCCCCAAAGCAACGCAGGTTGCTTTGTCTGACAGTCAGTGACACCTTCCCATGACTTTTTTTTTTTTTTTTCCTTTTCCTGTGAGTGTTTTGTGCAGGGACCGGCTGGGCTGTGAGCTGTTTACCTGTCATATGGGCAGCTTGTGCTGTTCTTCACCGTGGTGTCATTTTTGTCACCAATTAGCCAAGCAAACTCTGAGTAGGTCCTCAGCCGGATGTTCTTCCAGTGCTTCTTGGGAACGTAGCTGCACCCGGCGTTGAAGTCCCCCATGAAGACGAAGTTCTGCAAGGCAGGAGGGATTTCAAAGGCAGTCAATTTGGGGCTTGGCAGGGGCCGTGCACCCAGCCTGCTGCTGCCTGTGCCGAGCTGGGGTGCACAGGGAGAGGCAGTGCTGGTGGCAGGGGAAGTTTCACTGATCATAAGAAGAAAAACCTAAATATTTCACAATCCCAGGGAAACACACAGTAGGCCGTTAATGGAAGAGCAGAAAAGAGTATGGAAAAAAAAAGGTAGTGTTCCTGGAGGAGGTTCTGCACCTCTGCTATAGTGTAGTTACCAAAGAGCTCCTGATTTTGATGGCTGTGCTGCTCAGGATGAGCCCTGCCATTCCCAGCTCCATCCCTGCCTGGCTGGGAGCCAAAGGAGGGGCAGGCATTTTACCAGGGATCACATTTACTGGGCAAAAAGTGGAGACCTCAATGAATGTACGTCAAAGAGATGCTCAAAATCTGGGGCTCGGTGTCAACAGTTGTCAGGTTATCAGGCTCTGAGTACTGTGCGGGGTGAATGAGTCCCAGAGCTGCTATAGTGACACGTATGTAGCACCAACCTTGGTGTCCCAGCGCTGTCTTACATCTAAATACACATCATAGAGCTCGTCGATCTCCCGTACTGCCATCTCTGGTGTGGTGTGCAGAGGGACTACAGCAAACTCTTTGACAGCTTAAAAACAAAGCGAAAGAAAAGGAAATAATACAATGGTTAAACACGCAATGAGTCACAAAGAGACTGGCTTGGAAGCCAGAAGATTTTTCTGAAAGAAGAAACAGCTTCTGCTTTGGCTGCACATCAGAGGGTGCTTGCTGGGTAATTGCAGCATCTGCAGCATGAGCACCGAGGCCGAGCTGGGGATGTGAGGACGTGCCATGCTGCTGCAAACCTGCTCCAGACCCAAATGCCACCAGTGCCGGACAGAGCTGGGGCTGCCGAGGGGCAGGTGCTGCAGCAAGGGGCTTGGACACTGCCCCTTACCCACCCTAGCCCCGCCATCAGCAGAAGAACACATTTCTGAGAGCAACCCACCAGTTTTTGGCGACTGGAACCAGACGACGAAGGGCTCTCTGGAGAAGGCATCCTCATCCCCGGGCTGGGTGTCAGGGTACTGGTAGGTTTGTTTCACTGATACCAGATTTTGCCTGCAGTGGAATAGCAGAGCTGCTGGGGGTCCTCCTGACCCCGTCCCCATGCTGCAGGAGGGCAGGGCGACGTGCAGGGGCTGGCCGTGGGCGTGCTGCCCCCGCCGAGCACACTTGCCTGTAGATGAAGGCGTACTGCTCCTTGTAGGTCTTCCTGCCCAGCCGCCCGCTGACCACGCAGCTGTATTGCTCCTTCTGCCCTTTTGTCTGGCTGGAAGGAGAGGGGCTGCCTTAGCTCACTGCTGTGCTGCCAAAGGCAGAGGAGCTGATGTCCCGTGGGTCTCACATCAGCGCCTATGCCCCAGGTGAGAGACACCAGCTGCCTGGCTACGGAGACAGATTTGTCTTAAAGATGGGCACAAACCGAGCATCCTGCCCAATTCTCGCCTGCTGTGAGGTTTATTTATTTTTAAGCTTTCCTCAGAAACATCCAGCCCGGGCTGTGGTCGGGGCTGGTCTGTGCAGCACAGGGATGCCCGCCTGGCCACGCGGCCTCCTGCCCTCCCATGGTGCCTGTGCCTCGCCTGTGCCAGTCCTGGAGACACAACACATCACTTTACCCGGAGAGCTTCTCCACCAGCAGGGGACACGTCCTATTCTTGGCTTCCTTTATTTCCATCAGCAGCATGATGTCGCAGCGAGCGATGATCTGCAACAGGAAAGAGCAGAAGCAAGCCTGGAGGGTTAGGAAGAGGCTAGAAAGAAGTGGTTACTGGTGCGAAGGAAAGTCTTTGTGGAAGGAGCACAGCCCACAGGGTCCTGGAGGCGGGCAGTGATTCAAGCCCTTCTCCTTTTGGTAATGCTGTCGGCCCACGCAGGAGCTGGGAGAGGGAACTTGGGAGCAGAGCACTTCTGGGGCTGCAGAGAAGGGTCACTGTGAGCTGGTTTTGTTGTTCAACTTTTGCAGGTGGTATTTGTGTGAAAAAGTCCCTTTCATCCCCTAAAACTGTAGCAAATGCATATGCTGCCATCATTTATTTTATCTGACACGTAGCACTGGCTGTAGTAAAGACAGTCCCGAACGGTAAATCTGATCTCTTTGCAGCAAACCCTCTTCTCCAGCTGTTCACAACGATGGGATTAAAGCACAGAGAGCACCAGCCCCTCCTGCTGCAGCCTGGGGCACACGGGCATGCTACGAGTGCCTGCACCACGTCCTCTGCCACCATGGTGTCACGGATGGTGCTTCCAGGCTGAAAGTCCCCAACCTGGCTCCTTCCACTCAAAGGGAAAAGTTCTCTTCAGCTGCCACAGAGCTAGCAAGTTGGTGAGGTTTTGTTTAAATAAATTAGCACTCAGGTTTTTCAGTTTTGCACCACACTCCAAGATGATACTCTGCTATCTTGAGAATACACTTAATTAGGCAAGGATATTTCAGAATAATTAGCACATGAGCAAGGTAAATAGAGTATTGCAAAACAAAGCTCTGTGGATTCAAAGCAAAAGCTATTTTTACCGTGCACAAAAATTTTCATCCTTTTCCTAACTCAATTTCCAAAGGAAATAGCAAATGCTGTTTCTGTTAGACTCTCACGCAAGCTAAAATAACTGTGAATGCCCTGCTGAACTGCAGGCTTGATTTTCACTCTAACAGTATAAATGGTTTCAATTATTCACTTATTCTTTTACTTGAAATTCAAGTATGAATAAATGAAGTGCGAGATTAAGCGGATAAGAAGCCCCTGCAAAGCTCCACATCTGTATCCCCCAGGCAAATGAACGTACCTTTACCACGACATCCACAACTTCGGGTCTGGCTATTTTTGCTTCTCCGAAAGACCTCACATTGAAGGAGCAGATTTTTAGGCTCAGAGATGGGCTGAAATAGAAGAGCGAGAACAAGACAAAGAGCAACATCTTCAGGGCCTCGGACAAAATGAGCCGCTGGGAGCGTGCCTATAAATATATACACGTGTGTGTGCACGTGTGTGTGTGTTTGTGCATCCGTCCCCCTGCAGCCAGCTGAGAGGTCAAAACCCACGCTCAGCTTTGTCAATCCAAAACACGAACAGGAATCGCCATTTCCTCCTTTCCCTCACTTCCATCTCCCACGGCAGTGCTGAGACTTTGTACTTCTGCCCTTTGGGGACAACCGGCTGCTCTGAGCTGGCCTCTGCGTCCTAGAGAGACAACTGCTCTGCCGGCCCCCAGCACCCCTCCTGATGGGGAGGCACCCGCCGTGGGGTTCCCACCAGCCCTGGCCACCAGCTGGGGCCAGCCTGGGCCAGGACCAGGCTCCCTGGGTGAGCCTGGAGGAGCAGGAGGTGGCTGGAGGCTGGTGGTGAAGGGGTCTGGGAGGCAGTGGTGGGGAGATGGGGATTCCTGAAGGGCGCTAGTGGTGGGCACCAAAAGCTCCAGTGAGACATGATAGTGGGGGAATACCCTGATCGTGGAGGTTTTGACTGTGCCCATGTTTTGTTCTGCTTCTCTGGCCTGGTTTAGCTGCCCTAGCTCAATAATGGGCAGTTATGTGATGGCCCCAGCCCCAAAATCTCCCAGCCAAGTGTCCCCAGCAAACAGCAGTCCTGAGATGCTGGCCCAAGGAGCCCGCATGCGGCTCGGCCCCGTGCTGCACAGTGGATGGGACAGGAGGTATAACAAGTCAGGCGAGATGGTGTTATGTGTTCTGGAATTTTCTCTTGGTTGTTAGCATGCTTTCACATCCTCTCTGTTTTTCCTGAGAAAGCCCCACAGCCCCAGTGCGCCCCTGCCCTGCCTGCACGGCCACGTGCTGGGGAAGGGCGGCCGGGCCCCTCTTAATGCCATATCCAGAAGCACTAGCTCTAATCACCATCTAATTAATTAAACAGGTTTGTGCTGTGGTCAGAAATAACAGGAACTGTCCTGGACACCAGGGGGACAGGAGCAAGCCTGTCCCAGCTCCTTTCTCTCCTTCAGGCCCTGCTTGGGCAGGACAGACTCCAGAGGAAAACAGTAAATTATAAAGCGATGTTAAAGGGCCTCTCCACGCTCAGGAGTAGCCTTGTTTTAAAGGAGGTAAGTAGGAAGCTCGTAGGCTACAGATGGCTGTGTGCAATTTTGGGGAATGAAAGATGTGCTGTGCTCCCAGCTCTGGGCAGCGAGGAGGGAGAGCAGCAGCTCGGGGTGGGGGTGAACCTGCCTCCCGCCTCATCCTGTGATGCTCATGGTGTGGGCACAGCCTCGGTGTGTGTGTTCGAGACACCAAAACACCACGCCAGGCCTGCTTGTGCTACCCCAGCATCAAAAACATTGGCTGTGGTGCCTCTGAGGGTTTTAGCCCTGAACTGAGTGCCCTTCCTCCTGCAGCTGTGTTTGCCCAAGGGCGGCTGCTGTCAGAGCCTGACTCAGCTCCACTTTCCCCTCCAGGCCGCACCTGATCAGAAGTACGGCCGGCGTCACCCTCTGCGGAGGTGACAGCAACACGACATTACTGGGTGGCTCTTGCTCCTTCCCACACTGCTTTATCTCTCCGTTTACTGCTCGGTCTTGTACTCTGCTCTGTATCAAGATGTAATCTGCAGCGTGAGCCTTTGATAGCTCCGGGCTGTCCCGGACTTGCACGAGAGCACCTCCTGCCACTCTGCGGGTGCCATACCTGTCCCTGCCGCCACACGGGTGACAAACACCCCTGATGCTGGCCATTGATATACACATCCTTTTTGCTTTGCTATGGGATGCTTTTCCTTTTCTATTTGCCCTGCCCTGAGGGATGCAGGCATGAAAATGCCACCTCCACCACAGCAGCAGCTGCAGGCCGTTCCCTAATCCACCCTCCCATAAAACCTCCCCCAGCTGGGGGCAGGAGGTCAGACTGGTGGGACCCTGCACCACACAGGTGTTGGGGCTTTGCTATTTCTGGAGCAGCAGTTCAGCTCTCCATCATCTTCCCAGGAAGGTGCTGAGGGATGGGTGGGGTGGGATGTGTCCATTGTATGTCTCATTGGGGTCCCCACGGGGACACGGGATGTCTGGAGCAGCCTCCTCACCCCTCAGGCGCAGACGTTTCCTTTCAGTCACGGCCCTGGCTGCCGTGTGGGGCACTCACAGCTTTGTTTTCCCTGCTGGAGAGCTGGGGCTGGCCACTCTGATGCTTCCTGAGCCCTACTGGAAGGGGCAACAGGGAGGAAGCTGCGGGCCAGGCCTCATCCCATTGTGTGCCGGCAGCAGGAGCCGGCCTGTGCTCACTGGTGGCACTGGGCGAGTGGGGCTGGTGAGGGCCTTTGGGTTTACCACAGCTGTCAGGCAGTGCTTTATCGTCACCCCGTGGAATTTCAAGTTAATCAGTAACAGAGCCGAGGCTGTTCTGTGTTGCTAAAGTTCACAACCAGGCTGCAGACCAAATATGGCCATTTGGGAAGGGATTTTAATGTTGTTGTAACACAAACGGTTGTCCTCACATCACCCTGCAGGAATCTAGAGTTAGCTGGGGGTGAAAATGAGCTGTGCAAGGTGTTTGTTTGGAGTCAGCAGGGGCTCCTTCCCTGCTCAGCCTGTTTGCAGGTCTGGAAGGTGCTGGAGCACAGCTCCTTGCTGTGCAGGGCTCTGACAGGGTTTTCCTTTAAACGTGACAGCTCGGTGTTGGTTGAGTAGTGATTTAAAGCAGGAAAGCCTGCCGGCGAAAGCAGTTGCAGGTAAAGTGCCTCGTCATGTTTTCAGCCTCTTGAGCAAGGCTGTGGAGCTGAGGCACAGAACTGGAGATGCTCTGAACTGAACCCTGGAGGAAGCCCTCGACACGTGGCAATTAGACAGGGCTTTGAAGTACGCAGACACAAAGGTGTTGCAGCCACCAAATAAGCAAGTTTTCCTTTGTGACAATTAGTACGCAGCAATCGTTAGCAGATAAACGTGCAATTAAAACTCGTGTAATGTGTGCAACAGCTTTGAGTCAAAAATTATTCAAAGCTGCTAAAAGCCTTGCTTCATCGCGCTGTGGAAGCCAGGTACGCTTGTTGCCGTGCTCCCCGGTGGTGCGATGAAGGTGCTGGGGGCTGAGCCGGGAGCCTGCCCCTGCCTCTGGGCTGCATTTTGGCCGCTTGTCATTACAGGCTGCCAGCAGCAGGTCCTGGGGTGTCCCTGGGGCTGCTGGCAGCATCGTGCGGTGAGTGGGATCAGGCAGGGAGGATTCATCCCGGGAAGGTGACTCACATCGCTGGAGCAGCGTGCGGTCGCTTGTTGTGGTTGCAAGTAATCGCGCCGTGCTCTCTGCGGATGCGTGACCCAGCGGTGGAAAATAGCGTGGAAGCCTTTTATCTGGTGAAGCAGTGCTGCTCTCCAGCTTGGTGAAGCCAGAGCTTTGGTTATCCGTAGCTCCCCAGGCCTGGGTACAGCCAGAGTTTCCACTTTCCTATGGGAAACAAGATGGTTTGTGGTTGTCCTGCTGCCTCCTTTCTGAGGGCAAAGGCCAGCCAACTCTGATTTATTTTTTTCCTGGCTGCAATCCTGTGGCTATTCTGATTTAGAAATGTGTTTTTGTTTCTGACTACTCGCTAAGTCATCTGCCCCTCTCCTCACATCACAGCCGTGCTCCTGCCCTGGTGGGACACACCGCTCCTGACGCTGGGACCAGGAATGAGGAATTTTGGCCGAGGGAGGGGGTGGCCAGCACCTGGCTACGAGACACCACCACCAGCCATGAGGTGAGATGGGGGTGACCCCATCCTGTTCAGCTGCCAAAATAGGCTGTGTCTGTGCTGAGAGGAGACACCAGGCATACAGGGCAGGTTAGTGCACACACCAGTCCTCAACGTGAGCACCAGTGCTGGGATTGCTGGAGCAGGCCAGAACAGGGTAGGTGGGCTCCCAGCTAGCTCCCACCATGATTCAGCACAAAACCATTGCAAGTTTCTGTTTCAGCTTCTCTATTTAAGTGTGGCGGTTCATCACGGCTGTTTGCGGGGGGTTCCTGCCAGGTGACTTGCACCAAACACCCCCTTTGTAACTCACTGCCCGCACGTGTCCCGCGGGAGGTGCCTCGGGCTGCTCCAGCCCCGTGCCTGGCACAGCAGGCGTGGACAAACAAATATGATGCAAACAGCGCTGAGAAACTCATAAAATGACTCATGTCTGCTTAGGTCACCTTAGTTGGAGCTCTTCTTTGCTTAGCCTCACTTGGCTGGGAATTCCTTTAAATGAAACCCCTAAAACAGCTGTGCCTTGGCTTCACCAGCCCAGTTGGAAACCAGGATTTTGGTTACTGACACCATCCTGAGCTGGCAGCACAGCTGGATTATGACTGCTTTAACTTGCCTGTACTTGGTTCGATGAATGTCTTCTGACAGCTCATGGTATCAAAAGCTTTGGGTTATTGGAGTAAACTCTGACCCGTAAGGCTGTGTGCGCCAGTTCTTGCAGCTTTTCCAGCCAGGCAGGCCAAAGGGACATGCTTTATCAAAGCACAGATACGGTGAAAATTTGATGCGCTGTGCTTGCAGGAGCTGGTGTTATTTCCAATTTAATTATCTCATATTTTTGGGCCTGGTGCAAGAGGGCTGTGCCGCTTCTGTTTAGGGTGCAGCACTGGATTTTGCCCTTGTATCCCTGCAGCCACTATGCTGCATCCCGTTGACATCCCTGATGTAACCCGTTGCATCCACCTCTGTACGTGCTTGTTGTAACCCTGTTGCAGCCACACCACATCCCCTCCGATAGCCCTATTGCAACCCGTCTATCTCTGCTGCATCCTCACTGCACCCCCCTTGCACCCCAGCTGTATTTACTTTGTATACCTCCATATGTCCCCAGCATGCCTCCCTTGCACCGTACCCACTGCAGGCTCATTGCAGCCCCCTCCCACCCCATTGCAGCCCCCCTGGGAGCCCCTTTGCAACCTGTTGTAACCCCGCTGCCCTCCCATTGCATCACCTCGCGCGCTCCCATTGCAGTACCCCTTGTACCCCCATGGAAGCCCCGTGATGTTGCATCCCTACTGCATCCCTATTGCATGGCCCCTTGCACCACGCTTACAATCCCATTGCAACTCCACTATATCCTCCCCTTTCACCCCATTGTATCCCCCGGAGACCCCCCCTGCAACCCAATCGCACCCCCTCCAAACAACTCAATTGAAGCGCCACTGCATCCCCCCTTGCACCCCTAATACATCCCCTCCTTGCACCCCATTTCACCCCATTCCCACCCCACCTGAATCCCCTTCCTCTCCCACTGCAGCTCCCTTTTGCACCTCCCCGTTGCATCGCCCCCCCCCCCGCCTCTCCATCACCGCCGGTGCGCTCCGCTGCGCCCCCGCGGAGCCTCGCCGGTACCGGCGCGGAAGGGAGGGCGCAGCGCAGCGCAGCCGCCTCGTTTCGCCCGGCGCTGCCATTGCAGCACGGCTCGGCTCGGCACGGTAAGCGGAGGGGGGGCCGAGGAGCTGATGGAGGCAATGCTGGGGCCGGGGGGCACCGTTCCGCCGTCTGCCCCCCCCCCTCTCCCCTCTCCAACCTCCCTCCCCGGTGCCTCCCGGCCCTGGTGTTGAGGGAGGCGGGGAGGGAGGAGGAGACTGGGGGAGAAGGCGAAAGGCCTTGGTTGGGAGGCGAGAGGCAATTTTTAACGATTTATTTGAAAATCGTAAGGGATTTGCTTTCAAATTAAAATAATAATACTAATAATCGGGAAGCAGGGCACGAAGGGGAGGAGAGCGGTGATGCTGCTCGGGCACCGCTGCCCAGAGGATGCCGTCATTGTGCTGGGGCAGGTTTCGGGTGTGTGGAGATGTAGGGGGGGGGCTGTGTGCCAGCAGGGGGGTCCAGGAGGTGGCCCCCAACACCCCAACCCCATCCCTGGGGGGGGCTGAGTTCGGGCGCACTCGTGACATGAGCAGTGCTGAGCATCCGCTGTGTGCAGCGGGATGGGGACGGTGGCAGGGTCTGGTGTGGGGACAGACCCGTTATGGGTTCCTGAGCCAGCAGCTGGCTGGTGGCACGGCTCCGGCTGTCCCCAGGTCGCTGGTGGTGACGCCGATGGCTCGTCCCCGGGTGCAGCACGGGGGCCGGGGGCTCTCCCACGCACTGTTGGCGAGCCGCGCTGTACAGATGCAAGTGGGTCAGAGATGGGCGCTTTATGAAGCAGCGCTGCAGAAATAATGATCTCATTCCTGCCGTCTATAAATAAGTGAAGGTGAAAGGGCACATTTCCTATTCCCAGCCCTCCGGAGACTGGATTAAGACAGAGAGCTGGCTGATGGACAGAGATCATACAAATACCAACAGATCTGAAATTATATTTGCACCCTGACTGGTGTCCGAAAGGTCACGCTGTGAAATGTCCCTCTGAGGAGCTGTAATGTTAGGGGTGTCACAGATTATGATCAGTGGTGTTTTGCTGGGTGTTGAGGCTGGCAAGGGGGAGGTGGTTTCCAAGGGAAATGTTCATTTGCATGCTGTTGGGTTTTCCTACCTGGGTAGTGGTGTGCCAGGGCTCCTGGGGCATTGTTTCAGCTGCTGAGGCCCACCAAAGCCCCCTGTTTCTGCAGTGGGAACTTGAAATTGCTTGATGTTTGCTCTTCAAGCAAAAATTAGAGCATGCTTAAACGTGCCGCTTGTCTTTTGGATGTTTGGAGATTTAAAATTGGTTGGTCTGCAGGTCAGAAACCAGCAGCTGTGGGCACGGGGAGCAGCGTGCAGGGGAGCAGCCCTGCGTGCGCGGCATGGACCCGTAACCTTTACACTTGGATGTTGACACATCTGATTAGTGAGTGTGCACAGGGGATTTCTCCGGGTGAAAATTCTCCCCAGCCTTACACACAGTGCGGTGCATCCCTTTCCAGCCAGAGCCTGCTGAACCAGGCTGCACTGTGAGGCCACAGCCCCCCGGCACCCCTGTGCAGCCCCCCCAGTCCTCGTCCCATCAGAGAGGTTCTCCCTGTGCCTGTTGCAGCCGAGACCTGCTCCGTGAGCAGCACCGATCCTATTGCAAAGCCTCCTGGTCTCCCTGGGTAACGAGCTGAGCTGCTTTCACATTTGTGGGTTTGGGTGTTGTTTTTTTTTCTTTTGAGCTAAATGCAGGTTTCTAATCCCACACACTGGCGTGTGCTGCTGCTGCGTCTTACACGGGGCTTGAAAAAAATCAATATGTCCATCTGAGCTGCACTGTTAGATCTTCTCCGGCCTCATTTGGTGATCCAACAGGCTTTAAAGAGAAAAAAATATTGATGGGGATTCCAACCTTGCCCACAGTAACTTGTCCCTTTGGCCAGTGGCCCTGGGGACTGTCACCAGCATCCATCAGTGGTCACCCCGTTAGCTGCGGGGGCTTGGCGGGGCTGGGGGCACCGCTCCAGCCTGCCTGGACCCCTGGCTCTGGAGCATCCCTCAGCCTGTTCCCAGCAGCTGTAGGATGCCGGGCCCTGTTTCAGCATCCTGTGCCCTGCCACGAGCTCAGCCTTATCACTGCCATCCTCTTGTGCCCCACACTTGCACTGCTCAGCTTTCCTTTTGGCTCCGCCGGCAGCTCGCACTTTGGTCCTGCTCGGAACGGGCACCCTGATAGCGCCGTATTGCACAAAACACCATATTTACACATACAGGGGAAAGGTTGGTCAGAAGGCAGCGATGATGTATCTGGAAGGGGAGCCGCTTCCTTAAATACCCTGAAGTGGCCGCCTTCCGTGCCTGCAGGGTCAGAAAGAAGGCAAGCAGGAGAGCTCCTAACCTGGTTTTCCTCTTCTGACAGTGCTTGCGGGCGCCGCCGACACCCACAGCAAGCGGGACCTGTGCCGAGAGGAGGAGCAGGAGGGGATCTCTGCAGAGTAAGCTGGGCTTTCCAAAGCCTCTCCCCTTGGTGTTTTGCTTTCCAAGAGCTTCAGAGGTGGAGGAGCCGAGGTGGTGACCTGGGGGCAGTGGCCCCTGGCCTGTGCTCGGTTCCTGCACCAACCCTGCTGCGGGCTTCTTGTCCTTGTGGGTTGTTGTCTGCTTTCTGTGCCTCATTTCTTCCCTATTTTAGTGGTGTAGCCAAAGGCAACAAGTGCTCGCGGGTGGGTCTGGGTGCCACAGCCCTGCTCCCGGGCACAAGGTGGACCCGCTGCAGAAAATGTGGGCTTACAGGCAGGCTGCGCAGGGAACAAAGGTCTTTCTAGAAAATATTAATTAAACAAATAACGTGTGTTGTCGAGGCTTGAAGAAGTAACCGATGTTTGGTTTTGTTAAGGAGGTGTCTAATGCAAATATTTACTGTATTCGTCAAATTTCCGTGACTCCCTTTTCTCTCTGGGGAAGAGGGATAATCTGGATTTTGCTACAGAGCTTCTCTAAACTTTATATCTCGGCCATATGCAATTTGTGTTTTTAATGTGACCCAGGGTTACGGTGTCGGTGTGGGAGAGGATATCACTGTGGTGTCTTGGTTCCTGTTTCACAGCGTAACACGACGGTTAAAGGAAGCAGAAATACCCTGCCTGCGCTGACGGGGGGAAACGTGGGGGGCAGGAGGAGAGGTGTGGGAGGGGAGATGAGGTGCTGGAAATGTTTTGTTTTGTAACTGTGACCAAAGAGCTAGCACCAAGGAAACGGACGAGGCATATGTTGGTCAGCAGCAGGAATTAAACGCTCTGTGTGTGTGTGTAACAGGGTTTAATCCCTTAATGAGAAAAATATGTGCATGCTGCCCGTGGTCAGGAGAGCAGAGCAAGGAGCTGCCTGAACGCTTGTCCTTGTGAGCGATACCTGCTGCAGACTTTGTCCTGAGGACACTCGGGAGCTGGGATGCGACCTGGGAATGGCAGTAAGGGCAAAATGCTTCTAGGGCAGGGGGAAGGACGGGGATATTTCGGTGCCGTATCAGGGACGGGGATGAATTTGTCTCAGATGAGGGCGGGTGGCCAAAGAGCACCCTGCCAGGTTTCTTCCATCACTTCCCCAGAGCACTAATAGGCTCTGCTCCCTTGATTAGTTGGTGGCTGTGCGGAGCGGTAATGAGTCTGGAGCCGAGCTCAAGCCGCCAATTCTAGGTCAGTGGTTGTGTGCCGGGGATTTGGGAGCGGGCAGGGGAGGGGGGTGGGAGCTGGGCGCCCTAAAGGAACGTGGAGCCGGCGTGGGGGCAGCCCTGTGGGGCCCCCAGCATCTCACGGGTGCGGGGCTGCGTTTGGTGGGTTTGCCAGGCACTGCAAAACCTGAACCCCATCAATCCTGCCTTGGTCCGTGCCCATCTGGAGGCTTATTGCCCCCTTGGGATGGGCTCTCTGAGAGGATAACACCGCAGTAGACATCATTCAGGAGCCAGAAGAAATATTGAGCTTTAAAACTGAAAGACACCTTGCTGCTCTGCTTTTTGCTCTCCTTTGCCTCTTGCGCTGCCACTTTCCTCTTCTCCTGGCTGCGGAGATGTCATTTAGGGCTGACTGACCCTCACTCGGTGCACGCAGGTAGGGCCGGGCCGTGAGGAGCAGCATGGACCTGGACGTGCTGAACATGTTCGTCATCGCCGGCGGCACCCTGGCCATCCCCATCCTGGCCTTCGTGGCCTCCTTCCTCCTCTGGCCCTCGGCGCTCATCCGGATCTACTACTGGTGAGTGAGTTACTCCGGCTGCTCGCATTTCAGCGCGGGGGCTCGGGCGTTTTAGGAAGGACGGGGCCGTGGCTGGGCCAAGCATCGCTGTTCCTGCCCTCGGCCCCATCAGGCTGGGGGCCTCACAGCCTCCCCGAGGCCCCCTGCTCCCTCCTGCTCTGGGATCGGCTCCGAGGGCAAGGCCTCTCCTTGCACCAGCAGTTATGGAGGGTCTCTCCCCGTTCTCCCCTTCTCTTCTGGGCTGGTCCCGGTGTCTCGCCCGGCCTCCCTCACGGGCTGCCGGCACGTGCCGGTGGCAGATGGTGGCTCCTGCAGCCCTGCTCGCGGGTGTCCCCGACCAAAGCCACCTCCAGGCCGCTGTCCTGCCCCGCTGCTCGGCCATTCGGGCCATCTTCCTGAGCTCCCTCCACCAGCAGCACGTTGATCAAAGCGGCTGGGAGCTGTCCTTCAAGGGCTGAATGAGGGGAGAAAGCAGTGGCACATCCCGGGACACCTCTCCCTTCTCCCATCTCTCACTTTCCTCCCTCTCATTACCCCTGCAGCACACATCCTCAGCTGCCATGCCATGGGTCCACGCGGGGACCTCGGTGGCTGATCGTGGCCCCCCCGCCGCTAATGGGGGCTGGGAGGCACTCGGGGCCACCAGCCTCTGCTCCCCGTGGGGTTAATCGGTTTAGCTGCTGCCACTAAGCCTGTTAACACCTTGCAAGGGATCAGTTCAGCTTTGCGCAGATTATTTTGTCTTCTGCTGAATTGATCCATCGGGATCAGTTGCTAAAAATGTTATCATCTTGCCCATCGGTAGTTTACACCGGTGCCTTTGAGGCGAGCACCCTTAAGACACTTATTCAGGGAGAAATTCACTTCTCCTGGTAGGACCGGCACACGGCCACGATGCTGCCTAAGTCCCCCTAACTCCCTCAAAAAAGGGATTATGATAAAAGAGGATTGCGCTATGCATAAGCTTTGAGTGGGCAGAGAGCTAGGACAGCCCGGCGCAGTGTTGGTGACCTTGCTCTTGTGTCTCGTGTAAATTTTGATATCGTGTACAAAAGCATCTGGAAGCATCTTGGCAGCCAGGAGTCGCCCAGCAGCTGCCCTGATAAGGGTCACTTTTGGCCATAAGGGGAAATGCAGAGAAACCGTGCCTGCTCCTCAGTCCCTGGACCTGCACGTACACATCATGTGTCCAAAGTGTCACCGATAATCTCTGCCCAGGTCCCCTCTGGCTGGTAATTTCACTGCATCATCCTTCACCAGGCTGCAAGCCTGCTCTGCTGGGAGCTGTCTGCATCTGCTCTCAGAGAAACAGCCCCATTTTCCTTGGGGTCAGGCTGGTATCATCTGAGTAGGGACGGCCGCCTCTGATCTTTGTGTGGCTGTAAGCACGTTTTTAAAGATCATTGAGATAGCATATGAGGAAGAGGTCCTCTCATGCCCTGGCCTTGTCTTGCTTATTTTCTTATATTATTAGAGTTATTTTCTCCTCGTTTCCAGGTACTGGCGTCGAGCGCTGGGTATGCAGGTCCGATACGTCAACTACGAAGACTACCAGTTTTGTTACTCCTACAGAGGGAGACCTGGCTACCGGCCGTCTATCCTGATGCTCCACGGCTTCTCAGCCCACAAGGACATGTGGCTGTCCATAGTCAAGGTGGGGTTCTGCTCCTCCTGTCACTGCTTAGGGAATCAGTGGTCCTGGGCTTGGGGGCAGCGTGGGGACCACACGGCTGCACGCATGCTGTGGGATGGTGTCTGTAAGGTGCCAGGAGTACCCCCAGCTCCGTGCTCAGTGTTTGCTGGATCCCTGTGACGTGCAGGGCAAGAGTGGTAGTGAGTCTTGCCTGCGGTTTCTCAGTGTTTCACCCCTGGCATGTGAGCTGATTTATTCTACAGCAAGAGTAACCGAGGGCTGCTGGAAGGAAAAAAACAAAAACAAAACAAAACAAACAAACAAACAAAAAAAACATTCCCACTGCAGTTACCAGCCCCCATCCTTCCCTCCGTGGTTTTCCCAGCAGTTCCCCAGCGGTGTAACCACCCCCAGTTTTGTTCCGGCAGTTCCTCCCCAAGAACCTGCACTTGGTGTGCGTTGACATGCCTGGCCACGAGGGCACGACCCGCTCGGCCTTGGACGATTACTCCATTATGGGACAAGCGAAGAGGATCCACCAGGTAAAGCCCTGTCAGTGCCTGGTCTCATTCCTTGTGCCTGCCCTGTGATGTTCTGGCACTGATGCTCTCGGTGCTGTGTTCCTGCTGTGCCTGGCCTGAAGCCACTTGGGGATGTGAGGGATGCTAGTCCCTGCGTGGCCCTGCTCGCTGCCAGGACCACTGGCCTCAAGGTTTTGAGGTGAATTTCTCTAATGACCCCACAACTTTCTTCCCCTGCCCTAACTATGCTCCTTCTGCCCCCGTGCAGTTCGTGGAGTGCATCAAGCTGAACAAGAGGCCCTTCCACCTGGTCGGCACCTCCATGGGTGGGAACGTCGCTGGAGTTTACGCCGCGCAGTACCCAGAGGATATCTGCAGCCTGACTCTTATCTGCCCCGCGGGTACGTAACACGAGGAGGGGGAAAATGGAAGAGAGAGAGAGAGCAGGAGCTGGTGCAAAAGCCCAGAGCAGTGCTGAGGGCAAAGCAGACCTTGCCTGTTAGTGCAAAAATTTGGGGTATAATTAATACGTATAGTCTGAAATTCTCTGGCAGAGCACACTGCCAGGGCACAGAGCACACAGGAGGCAATCCCAGCCCTGCCCAGATCGCTGCTCAAGGCTTTGGAGTTTGCCCTGCTGTGCCACACGGCTAGAGCTGAGCCGGGGGCAAATGGGTACAGGGCAGAGGGCTTCCACCAGGGGCTGTGCTGCAGCTGTGCTGCTCCAGCAGCTCCTTCCTGCACCGGATCCGCTCCAAGATGAGAAATCAGTCATGGAGCAAAGCAAAACATCACCAGGCCCCCACGAGCCCCACTCCTCCCTTCTCTGGAGGGGCTTTGGCTGATGCCTCCTGCGTTACTGGATGCGTGACCCCTCTGCGGTGTCTGCACTGCTGCCAGATTTCCAGCCCCTTGGGAATAGCCCTGGCAGAGGGGCTACACATCTCCTGTAGCACCAACCCGTCTCGTGTGGGTTTCAGCCTGTGCACCCCTTCTCCTTTGGCCCAGGTCTGCCGAGTACCAACGACAGCAAATTCATCAAGCAGCTCCGGGAGCTGCAGGAGTCTGAGTGCATCGACAGGATCCCTTTAATTCCCTCGACGCCCGAGGAGATGGCCGACATGCTGAAGCTCTGCTCCTACGTTCGCTTCAAGGTGCCGCAGCAGGTGAGGAGCAAGAAGGGGATTTTGGGGTGGGAGTGGGGTTGCTTCTGCCCAGCTCTGAGCTCGCTTCTCGCCCCGTCCTCAGGCAGCACCAGCTGAAATATCCCCACGTGAGGCACGCAGGAGCTTGGGCAGTGGGCTGGGCTGTACAAGTGTTTTTCAATAAATATGGCTGGCAGGAAGCGCTAAATAAATAAAGAAGAAGGCTATTGTCTGGCCCGGAGGGGGATTGTTTGTTGCTTTTTTAGCAGAAGCAATGGGGATGTTAATCATCACATTGTGAGGTGAGAGGAACTTGGCAAGGGGCTCGCTATTTAGCTGGTTTTCCTTAGGAAATCTGGGATGAGTAGATTGGAGAATAAGAAAAAAAAAACAGTAAGATAATGCCAAAACCAATTTTTTTGGCAAAAAAATAAAAGAAGGAAGAAAAGCAGAGTCATGGCTGAGACAGACAGCCTGCCAGCCATCGGAGGAAAAATGCCATTTTGCATCATAAAAGACCGAAATAGTTGGTGCTGAAAGGCGTGTTCCCTTAGTGCCCTGCGACAGCCGGGCGTGCTGGGGCTGAGCGATGCTCCTGGCCGCCTGCCCCGTGCCCGGCCCCACCGGCAGGTCTCTGTGCTCTCCCTGCAGATCCTCCAGGGCCTGGTTGACGTCCGCATCCCACACAACGATTTCTATCGGAAATGTAAGTGCGTGGTGAGAGCTGCGCCCCCGGGGCTGGTGCCCTGGCTCCATGTTCCTGTGCTGAGGGCCCTTGGGAACAAGGGGAGAGTGGATTTGGGGCTGCTGCTCTGCCCTCGTCCTCCCAGCTGGTCCAACTCCTAGCGGTGTCCGTGGGGAGGTGGGGTGGGAGGAGGATGACTCTGTCACACCTTTGCAAGGACAGCCCTTCAGGGCTCACCCCATCGCCCCTGCCCATGGGCTGGTTCCCACTGGTGTTACGGGGGCTCCCTGCAGCGTGTGCTTCCCACATAGGACTGACTCCTCCCCTGCCCACCCACCCTAGTGTTTTTAGAAATCGTGGATGAGAAGTCCAGGCACTCCCTCCAGGAGAACATGGGCAAGATCAAAGCGCCGACGCAGGTCATCTGGGGCAAGCAGGACCAGGTACGTAGACACCTCTTGGCTTTGGGCTCTTGGGGACCGCATCTGCATCCCTGCCCACGTCAACGCTGCTGAGGCTGGTGCGGAATAACGAGCCAGCAGAGTTGTCTTGGCAACTGGGGAGAGATGTGCTGCTCTGTGCTGGTCCATGGGTAGGCGGCGAGGGAGAAGTGTGGGGCTCCATCTCCTTGGGTGTCTGTGCAGTTACAGGGGGAGGAGCGAAGAGATTTGGAGGGTGGGGAAGGGGGCAAGACACTGGCATGTGAAGGAATGGGCTGGCACCCAGTGCTGAGCCCTGGAGAGGGGGGCAGAGCATGGCCCCAGCCCCCAAAGGCATTGCAAGGACCACGTTCCTGCCCAGCATCTCGCCTGAGCTTGCAAGGCATCTCCAGCAGGGTTTCTACCATGACCAGTAAAGCCCAGCTCCGTGGCGGTGACATTTTTTAACCCAATGCCCAGGTCCTGGATGTTTCTGGTGCCCAGCTCTTAGCGAGCGCCATCCCGGACTGCCACGTGTCCATCCTGGAGAACTGCGGCCACTCGGTGGTGGTGGAGCGGCCGCGGAAGACGGCGAACCTCATGCTGGAGTTCCTGGCGCTGCTGCACAACGCGGGCAACAGCAAGAAGCAGGCGTGACGGGGCCGACGCCGTGCCTGGGAGTCGGAACCTACCGAAGCGTTGATGAGTTCTCAGGGATCTTGTACAAACCGTGGTGAACGTGCCAAAGTCCCTGAGGCAGGCAGAGCCACCGCTAACACGAACCTATAGCACTACTGACGCACTGATCTAGGACCTCTGAGCAACCTTCGTAGACGCAGGACCAGGACCCGCACCTTTTCTACTCCTAGGTAAAAGCGAGCTGAAATGACAAAACGCTAGCCATGCAGCGCGCTGAAGCTCCCTGTGCAGCCCACGTTATCCCGGTTACCTGCAGATAGCTGTTAATGACCTTCACCCGAGGATATAAAAGTGCAGAAAGGGGGGAAGCGCCCCGGGCCGAGACTCGCTGTGCCCCCTGCCCCCAGACCCCGCGTTGCATGCCGCCGTGCTGCGAGAAGCCGTGCTCCAGCGCAGCGCCCTCCTCGTCGTGTAGCTCCTCACCTCGTCGGTCACGCAGAACACAGGAGAAAAAGGCGTGGAAGGCAGACGGCTGCGTGTGCAAACCTGTTTACACTTCTGGCGAGCGGATTTTTTTCTCCAGTCCCCGAGCAGCTCCTGTGCATGTGTGATGCCTTAACAGCCCCCGGGCAGCCTCCGCGTGCGGCCAGCGCGGGGGCGAGCGCGTGTCTCGGCTCTTTTCTATCCCGTCGTGCTGCTGAACGCTCCGATGTAAATAACGAACTCCTTAATGAATTCCGTGAATTCTGTGAGTGGTGACGGTGCTGGAAACGTGTGGAAGAGGGGGAAGCGTGGTCGCACTAACGGGTGGCTCCAGCATGCCCGCGAGGCTCCCAGCGCTTGTATTTCTGAGCCATCTTCTCGCCATCGCTCCGAGGTACTACGACCTGTACATATATTTGAAACTCCCCGGTGGTTTCTCTGCTCTTTTTGAGAGAAGAAACGTTTGTTCTTTTAGAAAATTAGAAATTTGATGTTAATTGCTTGGTTATTGTTTCTACTACAGGAGTTGATTTAAAAAAAAAATAAATCATGGATAGTTTTATGTGGTAAAAGGCAGAAAAAAATGTTGGATCTCTATGGTTTCTCATATGCCACAGATTGCTGTATTCAGGGGATTTATATGGCTATTAAAATCTAGTAATTTAAAGAGTGCTCCATGCGGTGATTTCTTTTTCCTTTGGGCTCGCGTGGGATGGCAGCACCGGGGCCTTGCTTGTTTCCTTCTTTTCTCTCCACATTTCTGCAAGTTCCAGGTTTTGCCACGAGGATGCTTGGTAATATCAGGAGACAAACACTCAAGAAGCGCAATAAAACCTCAAAGGTCAGGAGATTTAGGTTTTAAGTGCAGAGATTGACTTTAAGACATGTCAAAAGCGTGCTCAGAGCAGCTCCTGGCTGTAGCTGGATGTCTCTGCAGGAGGAGCTGCAGGGAAAGGGGTTGGGGGCAGCGGGTCCCTGGGTGACAGAAACCCTTGGCCTCTAGGGGAGGGAGCTGGCAGCAGCTGAGCCCACTGATGAGCAGCAGGAAATGGAGCAGAAACACCTGGGGATGGGGTTTGCCCCTCATTTCCTGCTGGGAGCCAGCAAAGCCCAGCACTGCCCAACTTTTAGGGCTGCTCCAGCGTTTTCAGCTGCCCCTTGGCACTGGACTCCTCACCCCAAGGTAGGGCAGCGTCTCCACAATGGGGCTGGGGAAGGGGCAGGGGGGCTCCTGCTGCTCACCGGGGCTGTGGGAGCCCAGTGGGTCCCAGTAAGGGTGAGCCTGGGCAGTGGGAGGGGAGGACGGAGCTGGCAGTGGCTGCTCCTGGGTGTTCAGTTCGGGAAAAAAGGGGCATCCTGCTGCTGGCCTGGGCTGCTTGCAGGCCTCCCTACGTGGTGGATAAGCACATGGGGCTGAGTGCTCAGCTCGAAGCCTTTGTAGCACTCTGCAGGCTGTGTTTAAGAACACAACTTGGGGCTCTGCCAGCTGCTGGCCCCATCCCGTGGTGGGTGCTGTGGTTTGGGCGCTGCTGGCACCCGGGAGCAGGAGCGAGTGGCTCAGGGTGCCACTGGGGAGCTGCCCCGCTCCCCCCGAGTCCTTCACCCGGCTCTGCAAACAGGCCACTGAACCTTCCTCTGACTCAACGCGTTTCGCAACCTCCTTGGCCGCAAAATGTGTTTATCCCGGGGAAGCCGGGATGGGAGCACCCTGGGACACGGCCGTGTGTCCGTGTGGGACAGGGTGCCCGCGGAGAGGCACTGCGCCCTGCCAGCCCTACCCTGCTGCCCGGCTGAAACTGGCATGGAGGAACTCAAAGAAAACTCGTAGGATCTGTGTTTGGGTTGGTTTTGGGCTTTTTACAGTGTTTTTTGTTTGGTTGTTGGGTGTTTTATTTTTTTTGGTTGGTTTTGGTGTTTTTCCCCCTTCTGGCAGGCCCTTTTTGGGGCTGCCCAATATGTCCCGGGGGGCAGCAGCCGCCGTCTTTTTATTATTATGCTAGGGCACAGCAAATAGCTGTGAGATTGCTGCTCCGAAGGCAGTGGCGCTGCATTGAGCTGCTTCCTGGAAACCCTTGGTTTGCCCTGGAAAATGGGACCCACGCGCAGCCTTGACGTACTGCTCTATTGATTCTTTTATTATTTTTTTTAATGTGTATTCAGGGAAAAGCTGTGTGGGAGCACTGGGTGAGCCGTCGGATTTCTGCTCACAGAGCAGGGATTCGTGTTTTTTTTCCCAACTGTGCTGGCCGGCGCCGCGCTGCTCCCACCAGGGCAGCGTTTGCTTCTGATCAGTCGTCTTCCTCTCATGCAGAATTCAAATTAAGGATCGATAGGGTCAGTGGTGCCTTTTTTTTGCCAGGTACTCTTATTCCAAGTCTAGAGAAGTGACAAATGTGCTTTGTCCCAGCAAAGAGGACAGGCTGTGTTCTTTATCACACGGGGGCTGTGAGACCAAAGAGCCCCGAGGTCTGTCACCTTGGCATGGGCTGCCTGGGCGCAGGGTGACCGCATTCCTGGGGCACACAGCGTGAAGCCCTCGCGAGGCAGGACTCCAGGAGTGTCTTCATAGCTCCCCGCGGCTCCCTCTTGCATGTCTGCGGGACAAAATCTCCCCGACCCTGCACGCTCTGCCAGCTGCCCCTCATGTACCTGGCGGGGCGATGCACGGAGCTGGAACAAACCTGTTCCCAGTGGGGGACTCACTTCACCAGCATGCTAAGAACAAACGCACCAGCCAGCATGGTTTAAACTAAAACTCCTGACCAACACCCCAAGCCCCCCAAATGACATTGCTCAGCCGTGATTCACCCCCTGACAGTTCATCTTTTTCTGCAGTTTTGCTTTTGAGCCTTTGCGCAACTGGTTATTCATACTGAAGAACAGAGCTTCACCTTTGTTTTTCCAGAATTACCCCCCCTACACTTTCTTTTCCTCCTTTTTATGTTCTATTTGCCAGGATCCCGAGTCCCAGCACCTTTTGGATGGCTGCTGAGCTCCCTCCCACAGCTCAGGCAGGGATCTAAGTCCTGCTGGAGCTGCGAGATGTTGTGCGTCTCTGCGGGCTGGTGTAAGCTGGGGGTCCCTCCTTTTAATTGGGAATGAGGTTGTCCTGCATGATAAAAACACCACCAAAGCAATACTGCTCCTGTAGCTCTTTCTTTGCCCTGTTGCAAGAGGTTTATGAGCAACGTGGACAAATGCTCCCTGCTTTGGCCAGCTCCATGCGCAGCACTTGTGGCGTGGTGGCACCAGGTGGCAGCAAGTGACCGGCGTGGGGAGAGGCTGCAGCACCCGGGGGAGCAGGGGTGGCCTCGGGGCTCCTGCACCCGCTGCACCCTCAGCAGCAGGGCCCCCGGACCCCCCCCAAACACCCAGGCACCGTTTGTGGGTCCCCCTGGAGCCTGTTTGGTGTTTGGTCCTTGCTGCGTGCCCCGGCTGGGCTGGCTCTTGGGGGCGCGTTTGCAGCGTGGAGGAAGCAACGTGATGTCAACAAGCAGATCTAAGATGTTGCCCAAATCTATTTTTGTAGGGGTCAGAAATATTTCCCTCTGGCCGGGGGAAGGCAGAGCACGTGTGTGCTTGGCGCTGTGCGTTGCTGCTGGGGAGGAGGAGCTGGCCCTGTCCCCGTGCCCACTCCCCACGCTCTCCTGGCTGGGTGCCGGTGCCCTACAAGAGCGCAGGGTCCGGCAGGGCTCTGCCAGGAGCTGGGTGCCCCATGGCAAAGCCCAGCTCCTGCCTCGCCTTCGAAGCTGTCTGCACTAGGGGTCAAATTCTGTCCTTCCACGAGACGTCCAGATTTTGAAGTTTAAGGACAAGTCAGCTCTGACAGGGGTTAACTCATTAACTTGTTGTGCAGAGACCGAAAGCAAATCCCTCGGTGCTCCTGGGGCACGAAGGCTGCTTCTCCAAGCTCTGGGTCAGGTGCAGGGCACCAGGACGGGTGGGAGGCTGCGAGCAGGGGGTGCTGGCCCAAAGCAAAATTTTGGCTTCAGCTTAACCCCAGACCTGGGCCGGCCCAGCTCTGGAGCATTTGTGCACAGAGCTGGCACGCGGCAAATGTGATCAACAGCCTCTTCCTGTTGTGCAACCACCACCAGCAGCCCACGTAGAGAATTTTTGGGAGCTTTGTCAGGCCTTTTGTGCTTCCAGATAGTGTTTATTTGCCTGTTTCAGGTCTTGCTTTCAGAAGGGAGGGGATTCAAACAGCGCAGGCCGAGGCACGAAGCGCTGCTGTGAGCCCCGCCGCCCTCCTGGCCACGGTGTCCCCGCGCGTGGCTCTGTGCTCCTGCTGGCCCCGCGGCTGAGCTTTGGCACCAACGGTATTTACATTTTCACCAGGCAGCCTTCACGTGGTCCTGCCATTATATAAGAGTTTAACCTGGGATATGGGGCTGCTCAGCCATCCCTGCCCACGCTGGGGGACCCTGGGCTTTGGGACTGGCCCCCCACACCCCAGGTCCTGCGTGGCACTGCCGAGCTCGGGGTTGGGTGAGCTCTCAGCCTAGGGCAGGCTCTTTTTTGGAGTTCACACCTGTAGTAACCAGACCTTGCCCTCGTGCGGGGCACGTTGGAAACCCTGCGTTTGTCACTTGACTCCAGCGAGCAGCCGGGCACTGCTCCCGCTCGGTTTTCTTTTAATCGAGCCAAAGAGCTGCCTGCCAGCAGCGCGGCTGGGGCCACATCCAGCTCTCTGCTCTGCTGCCCGTGCCGGGGGCGCAGGGAGGACAGGACCTCCCGCCCGCCACCACCAGCACCACCACCCCGGGGAAAACAGCCTCACAAGCCTCTGTGCGGCTGCTTTTTGCCCATTATAAGGAGCACGGTTTCCTTGATAAGCGTGGCTGTAAATCAGAAGCTGAACCGCCACCAGGAGCTCTCCTGGGAGGTGTCCCCATGTCCCAGCCGGTGGGGACAGGAGGTGACACCGCACCAAGGCCAGGGCTGCTCCTGTCATTTGCGGGTGCCAGGAGCGGGGTGGCTCTGCTCCCCTTCCAGCCACCGGGAGTGATGAGTTTTTCACAGCTCCTGCTGGGCAGTGAGGGTTTATCCAAGATTTTATCACCCGGGGGTCATTTTCTGTGGCCGTGCCTGTGGTTGCAGCACCCCCCCCCCCCCTGCTTGCTGCTGGCTCCGTGCTTCCAGGCTCTGCACCGCTCCCGTCCTTCCTGAGCACAATGCACTTGCATAACGTGCCCGAAGGTTCATTGTCGCTGCCGTGGCCTTCCTGATCCTTCCCTAGGGTTCCTGCGAGCGTGCTCGAGCAGAGGGATCAAAGAGCTGGCGCTGAACCCCATGAGATCAGGTTTTGGCCATTAGAGCCCTTCTGAGCGCTCACAAACACAGCTGCTGCAGGCGGGACACGCTGGTGCCGTTGTTAGTAAAATTGCCCAGTGGTTCCTTTTAGGAAGCTCAGCTCTCAGCTGCTCATTTTATACATGGTCCTGGCCATGTGGGCTGATGTTTTATGTGACCCGTGGCCTGCCTGGGGTGGCTGTTACTGAAGATATTGTTAATTCCCAATGTCACAAAGGTCCCCGCAGTGTGGGTTTGGGCTCCAGGGGAAGGGACCGGGCTCATCCTGCCCCATCCTCAGGCACGGTGCCAGCTCGGGCCATGCCCTGCCTCTGTCCCCTGTCCCAGAGCCCGGCCATGCCCCGGCAGGTAGGACAGAGCCTGCCTGAGCCAGCAGAGCATGTTGCCCTGCACCTAAAAATAACCTGGTTATCTCCCACTTCATCCAAATCAACACCAGCCCAAGCTATAAATAGCCTCGTCTGTGCTGACCGGGATTGCTGCTGGGAGGGGGCCTGTCTGGGGGGGATTCAGGGGTGGGATGTGGGGGACCCTCTGTGGGACAGCACCCAGGTGTCCCCCCAGTGGTCGTCCACCCCAGACCTGCATCGAGGTGAGGGCTGGTTGGGGTGGGAAGGATGCTCCTCGCGGTGAACACATGTGGACGGGGTGAGGGGGGGCTGTCCCCTTGCAAAACAGCTGCCAAAAATAGTCTGGGTAAATAACGCCCCGCATGCCCTTGCTGACTCAGGGCCTTGTGCAAGTCTTCACCTGAACCCCTCCACGCTGTTCGGGCTGTGGGACCCTGCGTGGGTCTGAGCTGGTGTCGTCCTGCCCGTGCTGTGCCATCCTGTGCCAGCCAGGGCTTGCTGCAGGCCCTGCTTTAACACC